GATTTATTAGTTTGGTAAGCAACAGAAGGTTTCCTTAAATGGGGGAACCTGTTGAGCAGGGATGAAAGAATGATTAGGAATTAACTCTGCAAAGAGGTGGAAGAGTTCTACAGGAAGGAGAGCCAAGAGAAAGGCACTTTCAAGGATAAGGTCAAGGTGCTAGAGTACAATGAAGACTATAAGAGGTGTGGCTGCAAAGGCCAGGAGGGACAGGAACATGCTGGGCTTTATAGGTCCTACTGAAGGTTTCTAGGGTTTATCCTAAGAACAGTCCTTGAATAGAATGTCCCAAGATTTCAAGTTAGATCCATGGCTGACCCCAGGATGAGTAATAAAGAAGTAATTCTGAAATCACAAAGAAAATTTTAGAAATTTAGAAAATTTTATTACAATTAAAACACTTCTGCACCCCATCACTCTTCTTTGTGTGTGTGATCTCACCTCAAGTCAAGTTTAAAAAGCATATGAATTTATACATATGGCCATTTTCAGCTGGTCAACCTGGCTTTGCCAAGAGATCATGTACACACACACACACACACACACACACACACACATACACGTATGTGTATGCACCTTTAATACTTAAGGAAATGTGGGCCAGTTTTAGTTTTTTAAAAGCATAATATTCCAATTAATAACAATCCAATGTCTGGCTATGTTAAATGTTCATTCTCTTGACTTTTTTCATAGGATCCCTCATAAGACAATATAAGTTTTAAGAGATACAAACAAAATTCTTGCCAAAGATTGTTTTAATTCTAATTGTTTTTATCCTCACCTGTCTATACTGGTGAGGATTTAGAAAGAAGATTATTTGTATTGTCCTTTGGTCTCAGTTTCCCCAAAATATTTTAGTGGTATAGTAAGTGCCTGCTATTCTACATTTCAAAATGCAATTACAAGTTTAAGTTATTTCTTCTAAAATTACAATTAGATCACAGAAAAAAAGTTAAAGAAGTTAGGGTAACAAAGTAAGTAACAAAAAGACAGCTAGCATTTTTTGAGCAATTTCTGTGTACCAACTAGTTTGTTGAGAACCTTAATAATACACATTATCTCATTTAATTCTGAGAGGTGCCTGCTATTCTACATTTCATAAACACAGAAACTGGGGCTTATAGAAATATGCAAGCATTTCTAGATAATATATATACCTCAGACTTGTGCTATGCAGATTGGCCTATGGTCACATGAGGCAACTAAACATTTGAAAAGAGGCTAATTTTATCAAGTTGAGCTGTAAGTATCACCATATTTCAAAGAATTAGTATTTAAAGATATCTTTAATAAATTTTTGAATATTGATAATGTTAAAATCACCATATTTTGGATGTAGTGGGTTAAATAAAATGATTATTAAGATTAGTTTTACCTAGGTTTTTAATCAACTACTAGAAATTTTTAGATTACCTATGTGTTCACATTGTGTTTTTATCAAACAGTGCTGACCTAGAGACCAAAGGTTAGGAGCTGATTTGGCCAGCAGACACCAAGTTGAAAGACAAACTAACACAGAAAAGGATACATTGATTCATAAAGATACTGGTTTTAATCTCCTTTCCATCAGTGAGTGGTCTTAGATAAGTTATCAAATCTCTTGGCACTTCAGTTACATCATCTCCATTGTGGTGATATTAAATGTCCTCTAACAACTACTTCATATAGTATATAAAGCAGCTAGTTGGTACACAATGAGCAAAGGAAGCAATTACTGAATACCTACTATAGCAATTGGGAAGTTTAAAAATTGGCTCGCAAAACACAAAATTCCCCCATTTGAAAATCATGTTTTATTCTTTTTCAGTGAGAGTTAGAGAACGCTCGCTAGCTTAATATATGCCTTACTTTTAGATTGTATTAGAATATAAATCATTTATAGCCAATCCTCTCTCCCATTAAATTGTTTCTAAAATGGGTGCAGCAGCGCATGCCCATAATCCCAGGGACTAGGTTGTGGGGACATGGTGCTGAAGCTTTAGGATCACAAGTTCAAGGACAACCTGGATAACTTAGGAAAAACCTGTCTCAAAATAAAAAATAAGAATTGAGGATGTAGCTCAGTGATAGAGTGCCCATGGTTCAATCTCCAAAACCCCAAAAATAAAGCTTCTAAAATGTTAGATTGAGAAGCCACAAGATGAGGTTAGGGTAGGTATAAAAAAGAGGACATGGAAGTAAGGGCCTGAGTGTTCTTGAGTATACAGTAGTTAAATTCCAGTGAAAACAGTTTTGAACTCTAATTCAGCTACTCAATGGCCTTTTAAACATAAAGAACTAAGACTAGTGAGTAAAGTGGCATCTGGGAAGTAAATTTTACTCTATTTTCTTTTCCTGGATCACAGTGCAAATTATTACAGAATACAGACTATTTCATTATTACAACTGAGAAAAGTAATTTGCATTATATTACAAGAAACCCAAAATACAAGGACCATGCTATCTAATACTTTGCCATATTCTTTGCCCTAGGCTTCTGCCAAGTTAGCCCTGTATCCAGGTTGTACATGCACTTTATAATGTATTATGTATGCACTTAAATGTGAAGGGTGGGATAGCTGGAGCATTCACTTGGATTATTTGATATATGTATCTGGTCTAAATTGACCTGAGACAATGAATGAGACTACCTATTCTTGAGTCTGCTTTCTTTTTAATTGAGTGGTACTGGGGTAAGGGGATAATAATTAAGGATTTGAGTTACTTAAATGTAGCTCCTTTAAATCATATATATAGATACCAAAATTGCTCATCTAACTACAAAACAACTTTAAGCTAATGAGACTGGAGAAATAAAAGCTATGGGATGCACAGATTTGAAAACAAAATAGAGACCGTGAAATAGTCACTGTTTTAATTTGGAATTTAACACAAGAATTCACATACAAAATTTTAGTTTTGCTGTTAAGAGTGTATACTCAATGAGTTGCAGATGGAGTAATGAGAAAGGACCTTCCCTTTAATCTCATATGTAGCACTATCCATCACTTGCAATGAATTGTAAGCATCCCCTGAATATGAGTGACTTGGCCCTGGCTCTTTCAAATTAATAGACTCACACTGACTTATAATGTGATTGTGTCTATAGCACACCTATCTTTTAGTAAATGTCTTCACATTTAGAACTATGGGTAGAATAAGCCAGGAAAAAAAAATGACACTAAAATTGTTGGCAACATTAATAATGACCAGATGAAACAGTCACAGTAATTAAAGAATAATCAGAAAAAAATTACCAAAACTCTACAATAATATGTTATTACATTTCTGATGCTTAAATTATAGGGAAAAATATTCAGTAAATTTAAGAGAAAACAACATTTTAAACCACTTAAGCGGTCAACAGTATTTCCAAAACACTTTAGGAATTTAACAGGAAGGAATTTATTTGCCTAAACTTTAAATTAGCTAATACTTCAGTCGCACTTTTGAAGAAATTGCTATTTTGTTTTGAGAAATGCTTTTATCCCTCCATTCTGACCCCCACCCCATCCCACCGCCTGAGGATAAAAGTGAATGGATTAAATAAGGAAAAAGTTAAGATGCATTATTTTACTGTGAATGGCATATTTGTACTATCATATGCAAATACTCTCGCAACCCCACTGAGCTGTTAGGATGTCTTCAAATAATTTGATAATCTGTCTTTAAAGTTTCACACTAAATTAGAGTTCATTTTTGCAAAACGCCCTGGCAGCATTAAATCTTTTCTGAAAAGATAAAGGTCTCCTTCTTCTCGAACTGACATCATTACAGGATACATGTGTGAAAATTTTGCTGTCAAACATTGCAAAGGTAGGGGTGTGTGTGTGTGTGTGTGTTATCTGCAGAGTCTCACCTCCACTCGCACAGCTCTCCTCTCCCCGACGCACTTACCCACCCCTCTCCCGCCCCCCCCCCGCAAGTTTCAAACTTTGTTTCCTTTGGGGTTCTGCACCGGCACTACCAACAACATCCAAAAGACAAAGGGCTCTGCCGTGGGTTAAAGGAATGCCAAATTTTAGTGGTGAGACAAAGCACTCAAATTTGAGCTTCGGGCGGAGCGGAGAATGGTAAAGCCCAAGGCTCAACGCCCTCTCCCTACACAGCTCCCTCCCCGCGGCCCGCGCGGGGAGCTCAGGCCGCCGGACTGCGACTCCGAGCTGCAGCCGCCAAGCCCCCAGCACCCCGTGGGGCCACCCGGCCGGCTCACCGCTTCACTCGGATGATCTGGTCCCGCATGGGCTTGATGTCCTGGAAGCTCTGCTGGTTGACCAGGCTGTACACGAGGATGAAGCCCTGGCCGTTTTTGATGTACAGGTCCCGCATGGACGCGAACTGCTCGGTGCCCGCGGTGTCCAGGATCTCCAGCACCGACGGCGACGAGTCCACCTCGATCTCCTTGCGGTAGAAGTCCTCGATCGTGGGGTCGTATTTCTCGATGAAGGTGCCGGTCACGAACTGCACGGTCAGGGCGGATTTGCCTACCCCGCCCGAGCCCAGCACCACCACT